AAGACTTCATTTGAAACCGCTATGATTACAAAGTGCATATTCTAAAGCTCAATGCAACGCCTTGGACGGAAGCTTCCGATGGATTTATTAATGTTTTATTTTTAAACGTATAATTTTCTAACGGGAATGTTAAAACTTTATTTCTATATGTATTTACTTTCAAACTTAACTACACTAAAGCTAATACTTACATGCAGCATTTTGAATATTGAGAACAATTTTAATAACATATTTTGCATATTTTAGGCTATTAATTCTACCTTGCTTCGTTTACTTACCGTGAAACTTTACATCGGATATCTCGAACATTGTTCAGGCTAAAGTTTTCGCGGTTATCCCAAAACCGACAGATTTTAGTATTGGAATAATTAAAAACTTTTAACTAACAAACTTGTGTACTCACATAATAGGCTACAACCGACGCAAATAAAGCATGTCTCTATTTAAAATTCATTTGAATAAATGGGAATAACAAGGACATAAAATTTGATGTTACACAAAAGTAGACTCAATATTGAAGTACTCTTTAAAAATAGCAACATTTCTTCGGGGATTACAAAAGTGATTTTCAATTGAAGGCGTCGCTAGAGAGCCGCGTCTTTGCGTCAGGCGCTTTTCACATTTCTAACCGCAATTTTATTTATGTTTACGTAAAGAGCAAACTCAAATGTATTTGAAAGCGCGAAGGTATTTCACTTGACAAATTCGAAAGCAGTTAAGGATTTAAAAGCTAAACACAGTTGTGTTACAGAACAAACCGTATTTTATTAAATAAAAAACCTTGCTCATACAATCTTAAAATCTGCTTTTCCTGTATTAAATTATGTAACTTTTAAATTATTTAAACTTTTGTGAGACATTATTATAACTATTAGGTATTTCACGGCTAATACTCACGTCTATTTTTCTAGTAGTGGCACCGACTAGTTTTGGACCCATCGGAGGTCGTCGAGGACGCGACCTCGAAACAACCCTAGTAACACTAGCCTTGAAGATTGACTACCGATGGGAGAACAATAGATGTGAGTAATAGCCGTTAAATAATTAGTGATGTAACTTTTATTCTTATTTGATTTTCAGTATACGTGTAAACAACAAAGAGTTGAAAACTGTCAGGTAAAATTAAACGAGACTACAACAATGACACTCACTGCTTGTTGCCCAATTAAGTGTTTAATTACAAAAGTTTTAAAGCGGGGAAACTGTTGTAACTTTAATTGCTAACACTGCGTGAACAATGTTACTTGAGAGACATTTGATGTTTCATTATGAACGCTAGATAAATTGAAAAGAGACGCGCTACAGACGGTGAATTAATTGGTTTAACGATGGCAGTCGAGGTGTAGAGCATGATAATTGATTGATGAAAGAGGCCCACTAATGTAGCAAGATAAAATTCCTAATAAATTTGTGATAGTGGCATTACTTATTACAAGTTTTTAGGCGTTAAAATAAATAGATATTTATAGGTGCGTACTGACTTTATATATTGTAGTGTTACGAGGTGTAACATTCGCATCGAATAGCTCGTTGTTCGCTGAGTTCTCCGTATCACTACATAATGACTGTACTATACATATAACATACTTGCTGCAACACCGAATAAGGTCATTGAAGCTAGAATATTTATCTAAGATATTTGGAAATTAGTTAACATATGTAAATATACTATGTTTATGTTATCGAATTAAGTAAACAGCGATTTGTATTTTTGATTTGAAAACGGGGAGTGGTGTGCCGAGGTGAGTGCTCTTCAAGCCATGAGCCTCTTGACTGAACCCTCGAAGTGCAGATTCAGTTCTTAATAGCAAAAGAATTTAAAATGATCCAGAATTTAAAAATAAACTAGATTTATTAATTATTTTTGCATTTTAAAAGTTTTATTACTTGATAAAAACTTTCATCTATATTTAACATACTATTATTATAAAGTGGAATGATTGTATTTTTATATTTTTGTATGTATTGAAATAACTCAAAAACTACTGTAGCGGTTCCATAAATTCTTTCACCATAAAAAGCTACTTTATCATTAAGTAACATGGGCTATGCTTTTTTACTATTTTTTAATGTCACGCGGGCGAAGTCGCGAGCAACAACTAATCTACAATAAACTTTCTTGTATTTGGTTTTGGTTATTTAGTAATTAGTTAATTTAAGAAAGATGACAATAGTCATATTTGATACAACTTAGTAAAACCCGAATAAATCAAAATATTTCGTAGAAGTCTACTGAATGTACATCATCATCATCATCCACTTGCCCTTATCCCTTTGGTGGGTCGGCACAGTATGTGCTGCTCTTCCATACATCTCTATCAGCCGTCATATCTGAGTCTACTCCTTTCTTAAGCATATCCTCTTTCACACAATCCATCAATACTTTCTTCAGTCTTCCTCTACCTTTGTAGCCATCCACATTCAATCTTAACACTTTCTGGTTTATGTCCCCAT